TGAAGTATTCATTTCAGCCATTACAGTGTTTTATTGGAGAAGGCGATCTTGACAGGCATTCTTTGTTTCTAACAGCTGCTGTACAGGTAATCATGGAGATGACCATGAACATCAACTACACGGCAGACCTGGCTGACTCCAGCTCACAGGCGTTCAGAACTCTGGCACGCACGGTCTCCAGCAAGGTGAGGCTGATAGATGAATGACCCATGGCTGTTTTTTTATTCTTTTGTTTAAGAATCGCATTGTTTTGAATGTTGATGTCAACGTACTCTTACAATGGCATTGTCTTTTGAATTTGATTACATTGTGTTCTTGTATTCTTGACGTAGCCATCAAACGTTTCTATTTTCTGACTGATGGACGACGAAGACAGCCAAAGACTCGATGGATTTTCTAAATTCATGGCAGATAACTGTTGAAGACGTCAAATTAACTTCCTTTGTTAAAATATATAGTATTGTTTGCATGTAGATATTCGTGTACCTGTCGATCTCGACCAGCGGCCTTCTCAGCGTCACGGTCAGCAGTTTCCGGCCAGGCAGTGTCGTGGCCACCGTGAACGCCAACTTCCAACAGAACACCTCGGTAGACGCCGCCAGCGTGGTGAACACATTGAGGCAGGCCGTTACCAACGACACTGAGAATCCACTGGGGATAGATCCCAGCTCCATTGTTTTGTAAGTTGTTTGTGCCTAATTTCTTAACTTTGTTTATCAAGCTTTTAGTAACCTTCGTAATGTTTCTAATATTTCCACTACTTTTTCTACCAATATCGTACATGGTGTTGCATTATGAATTCGACAGGACTGGGCCTCAGCTAGTCCTCTTGTTGGCATACATTGATGGCGACTTCATTTCTTTCATTCCAAATGGGAACAGGTGTCCAGTTAGTGGCTGTGGTGTCAGCCCAACCGCCCCTGTGACCAACACCGAAATGGCAACGAACATGACCACGGCTGTTGAAGAATCTACCGATACAACCGAAATGTTTTCCGTCGGTACGGAATTTACAATAGCAGATTCTTTTACGGTAGGAACTACAACCGAGGCCTTGTCGACTGGTTTGAGTACTAGTACATCCGGAGCTCTTTCCAGTGACGTAACAACGTCTCCACCAACCACCGCTGTTGAAATATCTACTGATACAACCGAATTATCGTCTGTCGGGACCGAACGTAACGACGGAAAATTCTGTTACGGTACGAACTACAACCGAGGCCTCCTCAACTGGTTTGAGTACATCCGGGGTACCGTCCAGTGACGTAACAACAGCTCGACCAACCACAGCTGTTGAAATATCTACTGATGCAACCGAGTTGTCGTCTGTTGGTACCGAAGTTACAACGGTAGCTTCTTTTACTGTAGGAACTACAACCGAGGCCTTGTCGACTGGTTTGAGTACATCCAGGGCTTTTTCCAGTGACGTAACAACGTCTCCACCAACCACCGCTGTTGAAATATCTACTGATACAACCGACTTGTCGTCTGTCGGGACAAAAGTAACGACGGAAAATTCTGTTACGGTACGAACTACATCCGAGGCCTTGTCGACTG